TGCACCCCCTCCAGTTTTCCCAGGACACCCCCCAGTTCCATACCCAGCTGGATCTCCTCCACAGCCTCCCATCCTGCCGGGCTTCCTGCAGGTCCTTGCTCAGCTCTGCCCAGGGAAACACACCCAGAGGTGTGGAAACTTCAGGTGGGGGGGATTTACTCCTAACCCCCTCCCCCAAGGGACATCCTGGAGTGGGATTTTCCCCCTTTCTCTGGATGGGACCCCCTGCCCCCAAGAGGTTTCCTTCAAAGATTCCCAGCACCAGGAAAAACCAGGATGAATCCCAAGGAGCTGAGGGGAAAAGCTCCCCCTGAACCCAAACTTGTGTCCCAGAGCTGAGACCAGAGCAGGTACAGGGACAGACACAACTGTCACCTCCCCCCTACCCAGAAATCCAACCACACCCCAAAATCGTGAGGAATTCCCACAGGGATGAGACACCCCCCCGCTCCCAGTGCTCAGTACCAGCTCCCAGTACCAGCTCCCAGTGCCCGCTCCCAGTGCTCAGTACCAGCTCCCAGTACCAGCTCCCAGTGCCCGCTCCCAGTGCTCAGTACCAGCTCCCAGTACCAGCTCCCAGTGCCCGCTCCCAGTGCTCAGTACCAGCTCCCAGTACCAGCTCCCAGTGCCCGCTCCCAGTGCTCAGTACCAGCTCCCAGTACCAGCTCCCAGTGCCCGCTCCCAGTGCTCAGTACCAGCTCCCAGTACCAGCTCCCAGTGCCCGCTCCCAGTGCTCAGTACCAGCTCCCAGTACCAGCTCCCAGTGCCCGCTCCCAGTGCTCAGTACCAGCTCCCAGTACCAGCTCCCAGTGCCCGCTCCCAGTGCTCAGTACCAGCTCCCAGTACCAGCTCCCAGTGCCCGCTCCCAGTGCTCAGTACCAGCTCCCAGTACCAGCTCCCAGTGCCCGCTCCCAGTGCTCAGTACCAGCTCCCAGTACCAGCTCCCAGTGCCCGCTCCCAGTGCTCAGTACCAGCTCCCAGTACCAGCTCCCAGTGCCCGCTCCCAGTGCTCAGTACCAGCTCCCAGTACCAGCTCCCAGTGCCCGCTCCCAGTGCTCAGTACCAGCTCCCAGTACCAGCTCCCAGTGCCCGCTCCCAGTGCTCAGTACCAGCTCCCAGTACCAGCTCCCAGTGCCCGCTCCCAGTGCTCAGTACCAGCTCCCAGTACCAGCTCCCAGTGCCCGCTCCCAGTGCTCAGTACCAGCTCCCAGTACCAGCTCCCAGTGCCCGCTCCCAGTGCTCAGTACCAGCTCCCAGTACCAGCTCCCAGTGCCCGCTCCCAGTGCTCAGTACCAGCTCCCAGTACCAGCTCCCAGTGCCCGCTCCCAGTGCTCAGTACCAGCTCCCAGTTCCCGCTCCCAGTTCCCAGAGCAAACTTCCAGTACCGGCTCCCATCCCCCAGTGCTCCAGACCAGCTCCCAGAGTCCCGCGTGCTCCCAATCTCATCTCCCAGTGCCCCCAGTGCCCGATCCCACCCCCAGTGCCGCTCCCGGCCCACGTGACCGCTCCCCGTTCCCACCTCCCGGTGCCGCCCGTTCCCGGCGGGGCTGCCCGAGGATCGCACGGGCGGACGGGGCCGTGGCCATGGGGCTGTTGGCGCTGCTCTTCCTGCTCCTGCTCCTGCTCCTGCTCCTGCTCCTGGCCCGTGCCCTGGGGGGCTCGGGGGGCCCCAACCCCTTCGCCGCCGATGCCCGGCGCCCCCCGGCCCCGCTGGGCACCGACAAGGCGGC